TTTCTCTCGATTTTCTTCGACTAAACGAAGAGAATCAGACATAAAACGGGGAGAAATTATAAAAATATAAACTGAAAAATATTTTTCGTTGTTTCATGCATTTTTTTTCTATTATCGAGATCATTTATGACTTGAAGAAAGGGAAGAAATGGTAAAATCCATTTCTCTTGATTTTCTTCGACTAAACGAAGAGAATCAGACATAAAACGGGAAGAAATTATAAAAATATAAACTTAAAAAAAATTTTCGTCGTGTTTAAAGACGCATTTTTTTTCTGCCACTGAGATCCTTTCAAGATTGTTTTTCCTTAGATCCTGACGCGAAGGTTTGACGCGAATGATAAACTCAGCGTCGTTTAATTTCGTAGAATTTCTACAAAACGCTTCCTCCATAAAGATTCCCTCGGTAAAAATCTCGCTGGAATATATCGAGAGCTGTAAGACTATTATTGCAACAAATATAATAATATAACTAACGCGGCAAGAAATAAATGGCCTTGATAACGCGTGAAAGGTACGCCTTCTACCCTCCGGCGGGTTCCCTCGTTTGTTCTTGGGTTTGATCCACAACCTAACCTAACCTTCCTACACGCTGCACTCGAAATTCTTTCATACAGTATGGCAAACAAAATTCTTCGCGTCGGAGATCACTCCGTGTCGTTTGAGAAAGAAATTTGCAAATGGCGCAGTTGTCGAAACTTGCTGGCCTTTCGAAGGCTTTTCTCCTCTCTCCTTGAGTCCCTCAGCGAGTAGGATTATGTCAATTATTACAGCCATACCTGTCCTATCGTAAAACCTACCGCGGTCACTAATAACCCGAGAAGGTGACTTAGTGACCCTAAATACTTAATTATAAATAAATAAATAAATAAATCAACGACGGCGATTTTCAAGCGAGGAGGAAGAAAACACGCGACTCCCTTTCTGTTTTCCTCCTCTCATTTTCATAATTTACGCGTTTCGCGCGTCACCGTTCGAGGCAATTGGCCTCGAGCATTGCCTCGCGGCGATTTATCGCGACGTCGTAAATCAGCATCCAGATTCGAAGTCCCATGCGAGGACGCGTATCGCGTCTGATCGATTTCCCCTATTGGCGATATAATTTTCACTTAGCTCTTTTCTTTTTTTTTTTTTTTTTTCAAAGGCAACACGCCACCACTCCGGTTCGAGCGGAATTTTTCTTGTTGAAGGTTGTTCGCGAAGGCTTGACGCGTTCCGCCCCGATCGATTATCCTCGGCGTCGAGGCCGAAACGCGCCAGCTCGAAGCTCAAATCGAGAACCTACGTTCTACCTACAAAGCAGGGCTTCTCAAACTTTTTCACTTGGTGACTGGCCCTTTACCCGAGCAAATATTTTCGCAAAGAAACCCCAGATACAGATAATATATAAACTAGGAATTAAAACATTTACTGACGATATTAATGTATTTGTGAAGAAATCATGAAGAAAATTTATCCGAAAAACAATTCTTTGGTGCTTCAAACTGGTTCAAACTTGATTTAATTTTTGCAACTCTGGATATAGAGGTATATAAAGAGCAATATGAATTAAAACATTTGCCGATAATATTAATATGTTTGTGAATAAATTGTGAAGAAAATTATCTGAAAATAATTCTTTGGTGCTTCAAACTAATTCAAACTTGAATTAATTTTCGCAACCCTGGATACGAATACGAATTAAAACATTTGCTAATAATATTAATATATTTATGAATAAATCATGAAGAAAATTTATCCGAAAACAATTATTTGATGCTTCAAACTGGTTCAAACTTGAATTAATTTTCGCAACTCTGAATATAGAGGCATATAAACTAGGAATACGAATTAAAATATTCACTGACGATATTACTGTATTTATAAATAAATCATGAAGAAAATTTATCCGAAAACAATTATTTGATGCTTCAAACTGGTTCAAACTTGAATTAATTTTCGCAATCCTAGATATAGAGGTATATAAACTAGGAATACGAATTAAAACATTTTAATATTAATATACCTATGAATAAATTACGAAGGAAATTTATCCGAAAATAATTCTTTGGTGCTTCAAACTGGTTCAAACTTAAATTAATTTTCGCCTCCAGGAATTTTGTTAGTTTTGCTAAACTACTTACTGCGGCCTTCAGATTTACCCACACTTTAGAGAAGCCCTGCTACAAAGAGAACGAAAAAAGGAAAGCGAAAGTGCGATAAAATCCTACGCGTGTCCGTGTTTTACGCGTCGCGTGAAGCGCTTTGAGATCCCCGTGGAATTGAGCAGAGGAAACGAGTGTTTCGATGGAGGAGAACGACACTTCGGTCGGTGTTTCGAGCGATAAAAGTTGGCGATCGGGAAGGACAGGTCTCGCTGGGATTCGTCGCCGCGAAGATGTGGGTCAGCGTTTCTTGCGGAAACGCAATCTTGCTTCTCTCTGGGAGGATTTAATCACTCATTTCCTGTGAAAATCCTCGTCCTCGAAGAGAAAGATTTCGACGATTGCGATTCCTCGCGTAGAATTAACCGTTTTGGTACTGAACAACTAAATTAACCTCCTGACATACGAATTAAATGAAATTCGAATATGACAAAAAAAAAAAAAAATGATATTTATTTTTCATTTTAACATTTGTCATAAACAAAATTAATGAAAGCATGACGAAAGAACAAATGAATAATTCAATATCGCTTAGGAAACGCATGGCGTTTTTCAGATATTATTGTATGTCAAGGCGTTATAATTTATTCTCTATTTACAAAGGAACATACCAAATGTAAATCATCGATTTTGATTAAAATTTGGCGTAAATGCAGTTTCCAAAATAATGACGAATTCTTTTATAATGTAAAAATGAAGATTCTATTTTATTCGTGAGGAACTGAATGAACCACTATATTGGCATATCATTCGAACAGATCAAGTCACTACAGTGGTATTCAAAAAGGTGGCTAAGAGCATATTTCTAATATGTTTCTCTTCGAATTTTGAATTTTGTACTTATCATTTTTCGCAGAACTTTTACACTCTTTTTCTCAAACCTTGTCAAACTACATATGTCGATTTGGTCTGATGTTTCTCACTTACATACAAATTTTTCCTGGGTTAAAGAAACCTTGAAAAACGACTTGGTTCTTCCCGTATTTTTCATATGTTTCTCTTCGAGTTTTGAATTTTGTACTTATCATTTTTCGCAGAATTTTTACACTCTTTTTCTCAAACCTCGATTTGGCCTGATGTTTTTCACTTACACACAAATTTTTTCTTGGTTAAAGAAACCTTGAAAAACGACTTGGTTCTTCCCGTCTTTTTCATATGTTTTTCTTCGAATTTTGTACTTATCAATTTTCAGGACGGAATTTTCTCTTCTTCTCAAACCTTGTCAAACTACATACGTCGATTTGGTCTGTTGTTTCTCTCGCTCAAATACAAATTTTTCCAAGGTTAAAAAAGCTTTGAAAAACGACTTTACTCTTCTCAAGTAATTCAAGCGTGATTTAAGAGTCTCTTTTATTGTTTTGAATGGAATATCGTAATCGTCAAAGGACCCAGTTCCAGCGACTACGCTAAAATCAATCGTTTTCAAATCAACGTTCGATGCTAATTGTTCGGAGCAATCACGGTGCAAATTCGTCGATTAGCGAGGTTAATTCGAGGGGAAACGAACAGAGAGCCGATTCAAAGGCCGTCCAGTGGGAAACGAACAGAATTGAATGTGTTTAGATAACAAACCGGCGTCGTCGAGCTTCGTGCGTACGAGTTTAAAATTAACTTCGCCGAGGGCGATAAAAAGCGCGACGCACAGAGAGTGTAAATCCTTCAGCACAGAGAAATTCCTCTCTTTTCTTTTCCATTTTTCAGTTTTTCTTTCTTCTTTTTCATTGTCCTGAACGATTCACGTAATTCACGTGGGAAACTTTCGGGAAACGCAGTGACATCGAACGTGACGATGTTCTCAAAGACTCATACGTCGATATGGCAATGATGATCTTCCTTCTCTTATGTGAATTTGAATGATAAAACATACTGACGCATTTTTCTGAATTTATGAAAAAGACATCGTTCAACAATAAACTCCGGCTCGTCTTACGATTTTATCCTCAGTCTTCGATAAACTAAAGTTAGTTATCGTTACGTCGTGTCAGATCGGAAGCATTGTATGCAATTTACGTTCATTAATATTCTGTTTAATATCCAGTTATTTGCACCGTTGCATACAATTTGTATTATTAATCAATTCAGTTTAACATTCAGTTATTCGCGATCGTTAACATTCAGCTCGAAGAATTGAAATCGAAGATTCACATTCACATCGACCCGAGGGCAGCGATTTGCTTTTCCTCTCGAATCGAAATTCCGTAGTTCCTCTCAATCAAGTATACGACTCGATGTTAAAGCTCGAAGCCTCTGCTTTTAAAATGTATCGCGTCTTTTGTCCTAAAATGTCTTCGTATCACTCGAGCGGTGGGTAAGCGAAGACACTCGTCATTTCTATGAATTCTATAAATTGTCGGGGCACAGCGAGACGCTGAAAAATTCTTTTCGCGATTGAATCCA